TCCCTTTAGGAAAACCAGAGTACTGGGTAGCTAAAAGGAGTGCCTGCATTGGCATGTTAAATCAGAGCCATACTGGGTTTTTTTAAGTGAATCCCCTGATTGTTCTCATTTACCATGAAACCAAACTGGAACGTCTGCTCTAGGCTCACCCCTAATGAGCTCTAGTCTCTGTCAGGGATACAGGGCCTGACTGGTGTGGGGACTGCATTATTGCCAAGTTCTCTTGAGCGTACCAAGCGCACTTGGCAGCGGAGGGCTTCCAAGCCATGGAGACAACATGTGGTGTCCTGAGGTCTTCTGAGCACTAAATAAAGGGCCAAATGATACCTCTGCCTCCATGTCTGCTGTCAATCCCTAGCCCTCAAAGTTTATCCCATATTTCTTCTATCCTGATATTTCTTCCCTTCTTTACCTGTTGTCTGCCCCTGTGAAACCCTTTCTCTTTTCTGGAATTCCCTCCCTCTGCTTTATTGCACTCCCACTTCAACCGATTCTGCAGTACTGATGTCAGCTTAGCCTCCCAGAAGATCTGGCATGTCTCACCTGGGTGCCTGAAGAAAGGACGTGGTTGCCAGCCTGTGCTGTGAGAGGACTGCAAGCTGCTCCAGCAGCAGCAGCAGGTCACTGGCCGCCTGGCTGCTGCTGGGGTCAAAAGGGCTGGTTGAGCACCGTTGCACCCAGCTTAAAAAAACTGCAGATGACTCTGCTGGTGTTCAGGTGAATGAACTGCACGTGAATAATTGAAAACACTTATCCACGTGCTGGAAATGAAAGATATTTAATTCTAGTTTATGTTGATCTTTGACCCAGTGACCATGAAATAACTTTACAGACGTGTGTCACTCGGAGTGGTGTTACGCAGACTTCTGTAGATCCACCATTTTGTGTTTGGAAGAGTCATTGCTCTCATGCACCTGCCCACCACAAAATATTTTTTTTCCTGTTAATTTAAATATTCTACCTGAAAAACTTAAAGGCTGCTTGGGATCACTGGACACTTCATACATTCATACTCTTTTTTTTTTTTTTTTTGAACTATCAGTATGTATTTGCTTGGTGTTAACAATATACGTGTAGTATCATAAAAAGTACAAAGTCAAAAGTCTTTCCCTTTTAAAAACCTTGCTATGCTGTATGAAAGACACAGAAGGCAGGATGTTATGGGAAACCCAAATTGTAATTTAAACTATATTGTCATTACCTCAGCTCTTGCCGCTGATCTGGGGACATTGCAAGTTTCCTCCACTGTATGAACTTGAAATCTTTAATGAATTTCAGATTCAAAAGTATTCAAACTGGTTTTATATTACATCATTTTTCATACAAGGAACACTAAAATCCTTCACTGTATGTTAGCCTTTACATATCACATATTTCTTGCTAGATAGTAACATTGGAGAATTTCATCATGATGTACTATTGTAGCTTGAGTAATCCAGTCAGTTACTTCTTTCTTTTAAATAAACAGGAACGAAGAGAAAAGTTTCCAAAGGTCTGTATTTCAATCCAGTCACCTGTTTTTACTTAGAACCGCTTCCAGATCAAGAAACTTTTCAAGCGTCTCCAAAAAGCAGGTTCTAAATCTTAGAAGGTTGTACCCACACAGGCCCTGTTCTTCCTGAAGACCTTTATAACGTGGTAAAGCAACTTAACCTTAATTTTTTACTGACAAGGTAATATGCTCTGCACAACAAGGTTATAGAGTTTTTGCAAAAGGATGCCTGAGGAAATGACCCCGATACAGTAGCCAGCCTCCTTCTTCTTAGGAGCAATATATCAAGATCTTCATGCGATAGGTATAGGAGCAACCTCTGTCCCCTAGCCAGAGGTTCAGATGGCACAGAAGTCCCTGTACAAGCATGGCATAAGTAAATAATAATTTTTTTAATCAGGTCAGAGTTTAGCAATTAGAATGTGAATGAGATATTTTTTTCCTTTAAACTGGCTTGATTTCATGAAATATGGGCTTAAAATAGCTATTGAATAACCATTACTCCCAATTAAACCTTAGGATCCAATTCCAACTATATTGAACGAAAATGTTGCCACTCAATGATAAACAAGATCTCACCTATTTGCTATGGCTATATATAGTAGTCTTTGCCACAGGCAAGAAGTTGTTTAATACAGTTTGGATGTGCCGAAATATATAAATAGTTCCCTATCATTTAGGGTGTTTCTCCATTCCTTGCTAGTGATTGATAACTAATGTGATGCTCATAAATAAGGATTTGAGATTTTTTTTTCTTAGGGTGCTGCAGCTACGTGCCAGGAGACATGGTAATTCATTATCAATTGCTTTATGTACTTGGCTATCCCACGCTGAACAGGCTGTTACTGATACTCTTTTGCTTGTTCTTTGTCTCCTTCCTCAGGTTTCAGTATTTATCAATAGAAAGGTTCATGCAGAGCCCTTGATCATGTAAGTCCTGGTTGACTGCCACACTGGTAGTATCTATTAATCTGTCTATAGTATTCCAGCTTTATTATTTCCCTTCCTGTTTCATATTTACAACAACAAAACCAGACAAGGCAAAGTCAGTTATTCAGCTGGATAAAAGAATATGAAATAGTTTAGTAATTCCATTTGGTTTTGGATAGGAAATGATAAACCTAAAGAAAAATATTTTTAGAAGTAATGCAACGGTTAGCATATCTTCTAGATTATAGCAGAGACTCTTCAGGAATTACAAATGTTTCAAGAATTTCTATATTCTTTCAAATATCTTTATGTAAGGAAAAGAAAGGGAACTCTGTTAACCTCATGTTTCTTTTTTTACTGTTAGGCTCTCGCCAAAATAACAAGCAGCCAGCAAAACGTACCTCAGCTGCATGTTAGACCCCAACTAAAATTGGTGAATTGACTCCACAGTTGCTACTTTACAACTTGCAGTGAGTTTAGTATTTAACTCCATCGCTGTGCATTTGGTACTTAATGATACAGCACCTGTTGCAATACTCCTGAATCACCTGGTATGGCTGCGACTGGACTACAGGGAAGATGGGTGTTAATTATTTTATGCAAGTATTTTACTTCCATCTGCCTCCATCGGGCTTCTAGGAAAACTTGCACTGGCAATGCTAATCACTAGCTGGCTGGTAAAGAAGGCATGTGCCAGCAAACCTCGTTCAAAATCTAAATGGGTATGTTGAAGACAGGCACCGTAATAATTCTCCTCAGGGATCAAATGCTTTGTGGATTATCAGGTATACTAATTATCCAAATCCCCTGCCAAGCTAACTTCTGGTAAGCTCCCATGTTCCTCGCAGCACGCAAATGAAGACAAGGAAGCCAGAGCCATTTTGTCAGTCATATAAGCTAACATCAAGGCTATCCTGGAAGAACTTAAAATTGCCCAAATGCTTTTTTATAAAAAAGGGTGTAATCTGATGCCAGCGGGACTGCACGGTCCTGAGCCAGGCTGTGAGAAGCGCGAAGGAGGTATCACAACGGGGCTGGGACGGGTACAAGAAGACATCACAACCTCTCTGACTGCCGATCATCCAGACGGTACTCTGGAGAAAGAAGTAGGTTTTTTATTAGATTTTATCAGCACTGGCTCGGGAAAAGCACATTTTAGGGGAGACCTAAAGGTAGGGAAGAGCATTTCCACATACAAATCTTGCCAACAGATTCAGCATACATGTTTTAATGTCATCTATAAAAGCATAGTTACGTGTTTTCACCCGTGCTGAGGAGCGGCTGAGGGAGCTGGGGTTGTTTAGCCTGGAGAAAAGGAGGCTGAGGGGAGACCTCATTGCTCTCTACAACTACCTGAAAGGAGGTTGTAGCGAGGTGGGTGTCGGTCTCTTCTCCCAAGTAACTGGCGAAAGGACGAGAGGAAATGGCCTCAAGTTGCGCCAGGGGAGGTTTAGATTGGATGTAAGGAAAAATTTCTTTACTGAAAGAGTAGTTAAACATTGGAACAGGCTGCCCAGGGAAGTGGTTGAGTCACCATCCCTGGAAGTATTTAAAAGACGGGTAGATGAGGCGCTTAGGGACATGGTTTAGTGGGCATGGTGTTGTTGGGTTGATGGTTGGACTCGATGATCTTAGAGGTCTCTTCCAACCTTAATGATTCTATGATTATACGATTCTATGTCCTTCCCCCCTGCTCACAATACAGGGGGTGGGGCTGTATGGTCTTACATTGTATGTCCTGTTC